ATTGATTTATTTAAAATTAATATTATTTTGTTTATTTAGATTTGGCTCAATCTGATTCTGCTCAAATTAAGCTTGATATTACCGATGCTTAAAAGCTTTGGTGTGTATACAAATAATAATTTATTTTATCTATTTATAATTTGTAAACAATAATAATTAAATTTTATCTTTTAAATAGAGTATACAATTTTAAAATTTAAAATTATATAACTTGATTTATTTTAAAATCTATAACTAATATATATAGTAAACAGATTTTGTATTAGTTAGTATTTAGAAGTTATTAGATTTGATGACATTTTAAACTATAGATTTATATAACAAAAACAACTTGGTAAACTAATTTTTTATCAGATATCAATTTTGAAAGGTTTGATTTTGTACTTATATAATAAAATTTTAAAAACTAATTTTTTAATATAATATTTATTATATATTAAATTTTTTGGTTAATTAAGCAAAGTTTATTTTTTAATTATTTTAAATTTTAAACAAAGCTATTTTAAATTTAGAAATTAATAAAACTTGAAAATATAATCAAACTTTTATATAAGTACTTTATCTTTATTTCTTAAAACTAACCACTATTAAATATATAAAGATACATTAGGGTGCTATATTATTGTAGACACTTTTTAAAAATTTGTACAAAGCCAAATATATAAGATATAAAATCACTGTAAAAATTTATAAAAATATTTTATTTATTTATGGTTGATTCGGGTGTGAAGTGCTTCTATATACTGTACGTACAGTACGTGCGTGCGTACGTGCGATTTTTCACATAGTGAAAAATTCAAAATCACATGTATTACACAATTGTTTATATCACATGTCACATATAAATAATATTTTAGTAATTCGCTTAGCTGATTTCTAACTAATTTTGCTTTAATTCATTAAATGACAATTATACTAGCTTACACAGCACTATATTCTTATTTCAGTAGTTGAATTAATTTCAACAGTTGAATTAATTTTAACTGCTAAAAATAATTTCAGTTTCAACAGTTGATTTATTTTTTACTGTTGAAATATTCTAAAATTAAATTTTAATTTCATCGCTCTATAGCTTAAGGCTCTAGAGAATAATCGATTATCATCTACAACTTTTTTTTTTTTGACATATAACCCATCTTTTGTTAGAATGATGGTTATACATTATCTATATGATTTTACAATAACTGATAAGAATGCCAAAAGAAAAAATAGTAAATGACACTTTACAGTATACTTATAAGAATTATTCTAGTTACGCTTACTATGCATAAAACAAATAACGAAGCTGTTTCTTAATAAAATTCAAAAATTATTAAAGCAAGCATCAAATATAGGTTAATTTATTTATTCCAAGTTTAATCATAGAAGCTCTAATATGAATATCTTGTTTTATTACAATAAATCAATTATCGTTAATAGTAAACACTTTATAAAGTTTATAAAGGTACGGTTCTTTATCATTGTTAATGAACAAATTTTTAAATTTAATTTCCATTTTATAAAATTCATCTCAAAAAAAAAAAAAAAAAAAGCTTGAAGTGGAACAAAAGTTAAGGATCGACTTTTTTAATATAGCAAAAGAAAAATTAATAAATGAATGCGTGAAGAAAAAAAGCGAAAGAGAGAAAATAGAATTATAAAACAATTTATAGATTAATATTTTTATGTAATATATTCTTTTATGTATTATCATTAACAATAAAGTTATAAATTTATATCATTTAGAAACTGTGGCACACCAACGGTACGCATTTCCAGATGCAAATAATTGGATAAAGAAAATTGCATAATTTATAGGAATGAATTATGATACATATAATTTAAATACTGCAGAAAAAAAAAATCGGTACACAAATTCGTGGATAGTCATGTTAAGAATTAGATCATGAATATTCAACGAATGTTTTATATATATCCGGAATATATAGCCCGAACATATATGAATATCTGAATATTCATATTATTCATGGATAATAAAAAACTCGTATATTATTGAATAGCCATGATGGATACTCAAAGAATCTTACCTCTACTGTTGGATTTATGCTTTCTTAAAAGTTAATACGAGAGTTAATAAATATAATAGCATAAAAAATAAGGGTGGCAACTCTTAACATAGAATATCTAATGGCTAGGCTAAAATTTCCCAACGGACGTCGTTGTCTTAATGCCATGTTACGTGATTTCATAACATCTTTAGATGATCGAACTCGCATTTTTTCGTTATATCGTCGAATGCATGCGATTAAATCATCATTTTCATAATTAAGTAATTCCTTGGTCAATAGATCTGCATCTTGTATTGCATTATTTACACCTTAAAAATATACATATGAAAATAAGTGCTAATAAAAAATTTTTTATAAGGTACCATTTTTAACAAACACAAACCTAATCCTAATAGTGAATTCATAGCATGAGCAGCATCACCTAACAAAATTATTCTATCATTTTTCCAGGGTGGGACAGATAATGGATTAATATCACGAAGTTGACGATGTCGTGGAGGGTGATACGTTCGAAATGGATACTTTTTACCTGGATGAGAGAATGGAACAAGTGAAAGTAATTTAAGCATTAGATCTGTTAATTCACAGGGTGGACGTAATTGTTTAATTCTTGAAATTGCATGTTTTATGACAGATTCAGGATCATTATCATCAATTAATATGTTATCTTTAATATCAAGATTTGTCGGATAACTATATCCAAGGGTAACCCTATAAGTTGGTTCATCAGATTGATCGATTGGTATATAGCGCATCATTGAAAGAAACGAATCACTATTTCGACCAAGAGATTTTTGCAGTAATAAATTTGCATAAACAGACATTATTCGGTCGGCCAAATTTTTTGGTATTGCAATATCAACGTCGATATTAGTTACACCAAGGTCGAGGATTTCTAAGTCAGGAACCTTTTGTTTTCGAACTGCAATAAAATATTATCAGATAAATGAAACAGCTTATAATATAAGAAAGTAGGTACAGTCTTCCCCATACAATCACCTCCTATATAATCACAAACTCTATATAATCACATAATTTTGTACGGGCATTTTTTTTAATATTAAAAATACCTTTATATAATCACAATTATAGTACTATCACTATCACATTTTTTAAAAAAGTTTTTTTACCAATTTATTAATAAAATTACCTCTTTAAATCACAAATTAATAAAAAATTTTTTATTAAATTCTATAGATTTGTGAAGATATCTTTAAATAAAATTTTTGAAAAATCTAAACATCTAATAAATAAATAAAAATTTCTATTTTTACTCAAACTTTGGTGATGGATATCTCGACGAATTTTTTGTATAATAAAATTTTTTCTATTTTTACTCAAGATTTGACAATAGATATCTCGATAAATAGAAATTCAAATTTTTATTACAGATAATATTGATATTTTTATATTAAATTTAAAAATTTTAGCCTATTTGATCACGTAGTTCTCGAGTAATAGCTTGTATACAATAGTCAATTTTTTTAAAAAAATTAACTATCGTATACAAATAATTACTCGAAAACTACTAGACCAAATCAGCTAAAAATTTTATATATAGTATAAGAATATGATCAGTATCTATGATAAAAATTTAAGCCGATTTAGATCAATAGTTATCAAGATATCCATCGTCAAAGTTTGAGTAAAACTAGCAAAAATTTAATTATAAAAATTTTGTTATTTTTACTCGAAGATTGATGATGGATATCTCGATAACTATTGATTCAAATCGGCTTGAATTTTTACTATAGATAGTGTTAATTTTCTTATACTATATATAAAAATTTTAGCTGATTTGGTCTAGAAGTTCTCGAGTAATCGTTTGTATACGATAGTCAATTTTTAAAAAAAATTTACTATCGTATACAAATGATTACTCGTGAACTACCAGACCAAATCGGCTGAAATATTTATATTTAATAGAAGAATACATATACTATCTATTGTAAAAATTTGAACAGATTTAGATAATTAGTTATCAAGATATTTATAATTAAATTTTGAGTAAAAATAACAATTTTTTTATTTAATGGGCGTTTTAAAATTTATCAATAAAAAATAATATTTTACCTTTTTAAAATCACATTATATATATTATTGTATATAATGTGATTATATAGAGGTGCTTCTATTTAGTCATCCCTCTACATAATCACCCAAAAGTGTTAGACAAACTGGGTGATTATATGGGAGGAAGACTGTAATATCAATTGATAAATAATAATTAATTGCGAGAAAACGAAATTCTTTACTTTTTTTTTTTTTTTTACTCCTTAATCAGTAACGCACGTGCGGTAAATTCAAAATTGAGTTCTTTTAATTTCATATTTTTAAACTTAGATTTAAGGATCCTAGACAATAGCGCATTCTTATACTAAAGTGATTAAGCTCGTACAGACTTAATTATTCGAACGCTAAATTTTTCAATCACATTGTTTAATTTAAAATTTTATTTCAACTTAAACCATTTAAAAGGACAATAATTCATCATAAAATACATTGATTAATAATTGATCTTTAAACTGTATTCACATTCTATATTTACACGAACAGAATAATCAAATGAAAAACATATGAAAACCATTTTATAAAGATGAATGATATAAATACATCAAATGAAATATCGCATATTAGGCCCCATTATTAAATAACTGCTATACTTATTATTCAATATCGATAATAAATTTTAAATATTTCTGCAAGAATAAACGCAAATTTATTAAAATATGTTCGTAATTTAAATGTATAATACTATGATTGCTAAAATTCAAAAAAAAAAATTTATACAAGATATTGTCTCATGTTAGTGGAAGGCCCACGTAAAAGGAAATCTGGTTAAACTTCATGAAAGCTGCAGAACCTGATAAGCATGATCGAACAACACTCGTCAAAAATGTAATTATTACAAAGAAGACTGTTGATTTTGTTAAACGATAAAAACGTCATCAAAGAAAATTTATTAAAAGCTTAAAAACAGGAATCTGGCTCTTCAAATTATTCATTCGCAAAAATTTATTCAATGAGATTTTACATAGTAGTAATATTGTGAACCAACAAATGTAAAATTAATATAGGATGTATGGTTGTGTTGGCCAATAAGCAAATTTCTCATTAAAAGTGTAATAAATTAATGCGATCAAATAAATTTTTTTTTCACTTTTTTAATATATTCAAATTTATATTGCGCCGTCTCTTTTTTTTTAAAAAAAAATTTCTCTGCTGGAAATTAAAATTAACCAATTAGAGGCAATATTTCCAGTTTCAAAAAAATTTTAGCATTAACTTAAAATACTGTTTAAACAGTTTTTTTGCCATCCCTAAATGTAAATATTAGGGCAATTCAATATTATTTCGAAAAATAAGCGGGAGTTTAAAACATGCCATTTCTGTTGTAAATTCCAGAATCAGAAAACAAGGTAAGTTTATTTTTTTTTTCTGAAAATATATTATCATATTTAAAAAAAAATGAATTTATAAATCACTCATTTAAAACAAATATGCCACTAATTTAATTCGAAATCAGAAACCTGAACATTTAATTCTGAATCACCCTATTGCAAGAATATGCAATATTGGTCTATTTGTAGAGTTTTTTTAAAAAAAAGTTAATAGAATGCTACCATATTTATTCTTTATAAATTATTAAAAAAACAAAAAAAAAATCAATAGATCTCCGATAATATAAATTAATTTAAATCTAAATTTGAGAAATTTGTCGAGATTTCTACTTCACTCATCGGTTTACTAATATAATCAGTAAATTTTTTCGTATCATATAATTTGCTAGTATACTTGTCTTGTTCTTGTGAATGTGTTTGTATGATTGGTTCTAGTTTAATCTTATTAGCTTCCAAAAATTGATTTTTGATTTCATTATCATCTTTCTGATCTATTTCATCTAACCAACGA